TGATGGTATAAAAAGAACCAAAAGAGGTAGAGTAATTAAAACACCCAAAAGGTATTTGTAATTGATCAATGTTTCTAAGTATTTTAATAATTAGTATTAATATTTCTTTGGATATGTTTATTAATTTATGTTTATTTAGATATTAAATTTGTATTATGAAGTATTATGATTATCAATTGCAAATGTATTAAATATAATGTCTATCAAGTTGATTGTATTGTTCAATTGTTAATTATTTATAATAATTATTATTATTTGTATTTTTTTAAATTTTTCTTTGTCTTAATTAAAATTAATAATTATTAATTAATCTGAATAAGAGAGATGTGATATAATGTATTATTATTATTTATTGAATGTGGTACGACTGTACCCACACAATGTTCAGCTGTTAATGTTATAGGTTAAAAAGTAGTATCGTTCTCTTTAAATTTGTTTTATAATATATACTGTTCTGTTAAATTACTATAATGTGTTCGTTTAATTAAAAATGTTGTGTCTTGTCTGTCTTTATAAATTAAAATAAAGTTCAGCAACCATACTTAACGATGTTATTATTACTAAATACAATTTGAATTCTTGTAACAATATACAAATAAAACAATTGTATATTAGATAGTACTTATACATTTAATTATTTACTTTTGTATTTTATTTTTGCATATAACTATATTCCTAAGCACAGTTGAATACATTTTGAATTTAAAACATAGGTAGGTACTTAACAAACATCTAAATTTATGATGCAAAATATTATATACATTATACATATAATTATATTATGCATAAAACATTTATTTGCATATAACTTAAAAATATTATACCAACAGTACATCTACCTATGTTTAAAATATTAGAAAAGCTAAACTTTTTTAATACAAATGTTGTTTATTATATTAATTAATATGTAAAATTAATTTAAAAAGTTATAAACCTGAATATACCTACTTTCATTTTATCAACATAAATTTTTTAGATTTATTACTTTTTTAGATTTAATTATCACATGACTAAATTATTATTGATTCATCAATATAAGTCATTTTTAAAAATAAAAGAAGTATAATAAATACTATATCTAACATTACATATAGTTTTTATTTTCATAAAACCGATTTTAAGGATTATTATCCTTAATACAGACATTTTAATCACTCAGTAACTACGTATAAGAATTTTGATCTAGATGTGTCAACATTTTCAAGAAAACAATTCTCTAAATAATTTTCAGTAAAAAAAAGGGGGGGGGGGGTTTCATTTGAAAAAAAATTTGTATCCCCACAGGATAAGCAATTTAAGCAGTACAAAGAAATATTAGAAATTTAAAAATATGGATTTAGGTAAGTTTAAAAATTCTAAAAACCATAATTGTATAGATTTACTATTAAAGGGAAAATTGGGGGGGGGGGGAGAGCATGCTTTAAAAATCACCATGTATAGCTATAGCTCATTTGAGTTAAGCAATGTATATAACTGACAAACTTTCATTATAAGTGGGTTTTTTATGAACTAGGTTTCTTTGAAATAATTTATGCTTGGCTCTTTACTAATCATTATACAGTCTAAAAGTAAAAATTCAATTTGTTTCAAAGTATAGTTTAATTTATTTAATTAAACGTGTTAATAAATATGTAATAATATTGTAGTTAAAAAAAAGTAAAATCTTATATCATAATTTATAAAATTATTCGGTCAATAATTGGTTTCACAAAAAAATAAATATATCTGAAGGTATTGATATTGATAAATACAATCTTAGTTTTCTATCTAAGACATCCATAACAATATAATTCAATATTTTAATAATTGTTTTTAAATAAAATAATTGTTTTCGATGATATATTATTTGGTCTGAATTCAGTAAAAAAACAAAAAATTACAAAAAATTACATAAAATATAATTTAGTTTGCACATCTGAAATTGTAGTATATATTTTTTAAGTACAACCTATTGAATAGGATTATATAATATATTTGATGTTATTGAATGTTCATGTGAAAAATTAAAATTAATTAATAATTTATTGACTAAAATTTGTATTTTAAAATTATAATTAAAGATTTGCAATCTATATGGTTCTTTCACTTTATGTTTAATTATAAAAGCAATTTCATGCATCTTTTATGAAAAAGTTAGCTTCCATTAAACAATTAATATTTTCTATTTTTTAATTAGAAGTAACTCAGTGACCAATTAATGATGATATAGGGTAAATAACATTTTTGTTTTAAATTTATTGAATAATTGTGTAATATGTTGATTACTTCTAAAGAGAAGCATAATATAGTGTTATATATTAGACTTATTTGTGTACAGGTAAATCAATAATTTGAAATCAATGTCAAAAAAATTGTTTAAAAAAGCCTGCAATATCAATATATTTTAAAATACATGAAATAAACATCCATAAATACCCAAGTATTAAATTTGATTCTGACGTTATGTCGGAATAGCTAATTTTCAAGACTTTTGATTATAATAAATTATAATTAAGTATTATAAAATCCCATATTATACATCAAATTGAAATGTTTAATCATAATTAAAACAGTGATTTTGTTTACAAACTGGTGGTCAATAAGAATAATATTAAATTCATAAGTATAATAATATCAAGGTACATTTATTTAAATTAAATTTACCGCAATAGTATACGGAAGTGGAAACTGATCCACTAACAAAAAAAAAAAAAACATCTTAAGAATTAATGTCAAAACTTAAAAATGGAATTTGTTACAGACTATATCAAAAGATTACACATAAATATAACATAAATAATTAGAGTTTGGATGTTATATTTGTATTCCATTAAGTACAAAATAGACACAAAGAGCTTCAGCCACAAATATTATTGGAGTTAAAAATACACTGCGAATTGGAAATATTTTAAATAGAAAATATAATAAATTAAGATATAATTACTATTATAGTGTATATTCTAATACATTACAAATTTGAGTTATGTAAAACTACATCTATAAAAATAAAGATTACTACAAAATCATATTGAAATATTCTTTCATACTATTATGGGAAGGAATGAATTTTTTTTTACTTAATTGAAATAAATTATATTTAATTATAAACTGAATTTCAATGTTTAATTATTTTCTGTTTTACTCTACAATATTTTAGGAGCGACGAATAATAAAACTGAGACAACAAATGAATAAAATCATTTTCAGGATTTTTTTTTGTGTTTTAAATGCTTCATCAAAATATGGCAATAACATCCAAACCCTAACAACAATATTTCCTTATTTAATACGACTTAAATACTAACTGAGTGGTTTTTAATACTAAGTATAATGTCGAAATTTGAATAGATGTCATTTAGTTTATTTAAGAGGGAACAATTTTAATTTCCACATTGAGCTATTATAACAGAAATTATTCTGAATTATAGTTCTTTTTAATGTAAATGTTGATATTTTAGTTATATAACATATGTGCTAAAGTGCATTATTGTAGTCAGCAACAGATCTTATGGTTGGTATATATTTGTATTACATTAAGCTTATTGAAAGTTAAAACAAATTGACAACATTTAGTAAACCAAGGAATTAAAAAAAAGAGATCACAAGGCATGCAAATTAAATATTCAATGGGAGACATTTTGAAATTCACAACAATTATTGTTCGTAGAAAATTTAAGTATAATTATTATCAATGTAAAATCTTGAGCATTTTTATTAACGCCATTAATTAGTTTGAAAATGTTCTAAGTTGACTGAACATTTTTATAGAAAGTTTTGGCAGGTCTAATTAATATAATGCCAGATTCATTACTTTTCTTTCAGAAATAATGTAAAATATTTGTACATTTTAATTATGTTCTTAGATTGATGGAAAATTTAAACTAACATTTGAATTGTTGAAAAATAACATACATTTGTGAAATAAATTTCAATCTAAGGTAATTTTCTTAATTAGTTAGTTACTTATTTCATTGTCCGCAACAAATACATCAATTTCACACAAACATTAAACATCTTATCAGTACACACTCATTACATCCATCTGAATAGTATGAATGCAGTATTCAACATTCATAGAAGAATAATATATATGCATACATTATTCTAAAAAAAAATTAAACAAAGTTAAATTAATAGCGTATTCAACCATAATTTAATTTCTTTTAAAAGCAATTACAGATATGAAAACATTATATATTGTAATAAAGTAAGTAAAATGAAATATGCCGCTGAACCTCTTCACAATGTTAGAGTTTCCATCAACCACAAAATTTGATCCTTTTCATCCTGTAAAAAAATTAAAACATCATTACAGATTAAAAATATTTAACGTTGGAATTGAACTAATCAATAAAATTATCTTAATTATAAAATTAAAAAAGGTTAAATAAGCTACCCGAAACAACAGTTTTAGCTTTAAAGTAATAGACCAATACATACATTTAAAAAAAAGGGATATTTGAGTTCGGATAGGGAACTAAAACCAGAGTAGCATATTTCACATTAGCTCAAATATTTATTGAATTATCACTCAATTATAACAAAAATATTAATTTGTACATTCAAAATTAAATAATTTTTAAATATTAATTGCAATTCATTTTTTTTTTAGTCTTGAAAATATATTATTTTGTGGATTTAATTATTAATTAAAAAGAAAAAGATAAAATTACATATTTTACACAAATTATGTTAAAATATTGTTAATTCAATTTGCATTTACTATAATTATTTATTTGTAATACATAATAAAATATATAAAATTATCATTTTTTTATTTCAACAATTGGATTTATGTTCTACTACAATTTATGTTTCTATAAATGTACTTTATAATTTTTAATTTGTATGTAATTAGCAACTAGTGAGTTGTGGGTTTATGTCGTTTAGGGTTTGGTATAAACAGTATCATGGTGGGCAGTTTGCTTAATAAAGTTGTGATTTATATTTACATTATTATCTTGACCGTTTTTTAAACCATTTAATATTATACATTTGTTTTAGAGAAAATAAATATACAGGTATTCACCCTAAGTGTGATAAATATCATTTTATTGTAAAACAATTTTAAAGAATGTAAGAATTAGAAGGCCATGCTATAAATTAAAAAAAATATAGTTAATAATTAGATAAACATTACTAAATGATATAGGCATTTTTTATAATGATAAATTGAAATTTAATGATCATAACTAAGGTCCGAAATGATATGTTTATAAATACCATTACTGAGTTTAAGCGGTCTTAAGAGGGCAAGACAATGTGGATGATTCATTCATCACAGAGTTCGCGGGAAAAATGTTTTTTTCATATTTGAGAATATTTCATGGGTTAAGGAGCTGATATTTAGATTATTTAGCATATTTTGTAAATTATGAGAAAAAATATTTATTTATTTTATTTTATTTTTAAAATTATTGATATTAATTTAATATACCTGAACAAATATTTAACAAAATATTCAACAATAATTTTTATAAAAAAAACAAGTAGTGGTAAAGCAGTGGTAGGACTTGTATGTCACTGATGTTATATATTAGTTGACCTAACCTATGCTGATAGCAACAACGTATTTGTTTATCAAAAGTCCAAATATATTTTGAGTTTAGGATGGGGTGTATAAAAGTTTTTACAATGAAGAAAATAAAAATCTATTTATTTTAAACACCTGAATTGCATACGTAAGCATAAATGCAGTCAATTAATTATCTTTACATATTTTTCTAATTCCTCAGAGAATATAATTAGAATATTAGTAGGTTTTTATATAATATAAGTAACATATTTTAAGCCTTAGAAGAAAACATAAATCTAGATTTTAATCATAACATAAATACAATTTAAGAAAGAATCCCCAAAACCAAGCCTGGACAAGTTAGTGATAATTTTTAATTGAGTTAAGGTAAGTTGATAGAAAACATTTAAAGAAGTTAATCTAAGTTATTTATTTTTTTATGTAAATACATATAAATAGCCAGTAATATTTTTTAAATTGTAAAAATCATAAACATTATTGATAATTTTAAATAGATATGAGAATAACAAAATTGGTTTTAATTAAAAACCTCTAAACATTAATAACTTATGTATGTAATTTTATATCATTGAGACGAAAATATTTTAAAATGTGTACAAGAATTGCAGATTATTTGTCCCTATATGATGTTAGTATTTATTTTTATAAACATACAATATTAAAATTATTATTATTATTATAAGTATGCCACGATATGATATTATATATAATATGTATTTAATTAAGTTAATTTAATCGAACAATTCTGGTTAAAGGAACAAAAATTATATTAAATTGAAGGTTTAATTAATAAACATTTTCAATAATGATTTTATTGTTTAATTATTTATAAATTAAGGTAACTTGGATTTTTATGAAAAGTAATTTGTTAACTATTAGGTTTTTAACAATAAAAATCAGTTAAGTCAATAAAAATTAAATTTTAAAAAGTTTAAAAGTTAAAATTAATTTAACTTTAACTTTTTAGCTCATTTATGTCCAGGCTTGCTCAAACTAAGAGCTTCTTAAACGCTATTGCTCAGAATTCAATAACCCATTTACAATAAAATATAGAAATATATTAAAAGTTTGCACTCAATTAGAATATTCTATTGTTTGTTAATGTTCTATAAACATTACTCAACATGTCAAATCTATCTATAACTTTTTGTTATGTTTACTTTCTTTGTCTATTAAAAAGATATCGCAGTAACATTTATGATAGAAATTTAAGTTTTTTAATATTATTTCCCCAAAAATTGGTAGAAATTATAATACAAATGTAAGCATTTTACTCAAATTACTCAATTATGAAAAGATTACAGCCATTTGATGGAGAAACTGAATTTAAAAACCAATGCAAAAAATTAGTTAATAATTTTTTTCCTAATAAAACATATAGTTCAATTTATTTAGTAGAAAATATGTTAATGTAATTAGATAATTATATTGGTTTGGATATTTTTGAATTTAATATTAATGATATTAAAAAAATTGTGTGGTTTAATACATTGACTGCCAGATGACCGATGGCAGTCAAACAATATGTATTATTGACACAATATCCATATTATTTTTATGTTATTCTTAATCTTATACTCTATTGCATTTGAAAAAAACATTTAAAAATATAAAAACATAAAAATAATGTTTATTACATAAAATAAATTGTAAATCATTTCACTGCAATACTATGCTCTTTTTAGTACTTGCATTATTGTAACGCCATACAAAAGTTAAAATTTAAAACCATATTTATTTACGAAGGTCATGTGATGTGGTAGTAATGATTAGCTATGTGTGCCAGAGGTTACATGACAGTCAACTATTAATTTAATTTTATGATATTATTATTTATATTAAATTCTTTGTATTTATACATAGATTAATTTTGTATTTATTCAAATTTATTCTTATTATTATTTACACTTATTATATTGTACCTTCAACTGTTATATTTTTACAAAATTTTGGTAAACGCAGTTTTTCAATTATTACTTATTACTTTGTCACATTATTGAAACAAGCGTTCTAATTCGTTAAAAATGAGATGAAAAGCACTGTGTATAAGTTATCCGCAATAGAATTACGATTTCCACATAAGTATTTAGCTATCTTTTTCAACCATTTAACCAATGTATTGATTTTTATTTTGTACACATCATTTTTAAAAATCAAATATTGTTCATTGTTTAAAATGAGCCAAAAACCCGTTAATATTATATCTTGCCTGATATCTTGATTCATTTGAATATGAATCTCGCAATGATGTCAATGCTAGCTTGAAATCATCCAAGGAAGCGCATATTTCTTTCACTCTGACTGGTGACATACGGAGCAGTTGATTCAATGTCGATAAAAACAACTCATGATGAAATGGTTCAACATTTTTTTCCATGCCCATGATTATCGAAGTTATAATTTCAACGACACCATTATCAACATACATTTCTGTAAATATTATTCATATTAAAAATTACTTTTTTTTTAAAAAAAGCTTCTTGTGCATACAATTATAGCTATTAAAAATTACTTATTCATATCAATGTAATAAGAAAAGCAACTTACCCGCTACATCGTTACCCATATGACAAGTTGAGCAAATGATGAATACTGCTTTAATCTTCAATTTATCAATTGGTGTTTTCAATGAATTGATGATTAAATCTTTACCTCCGTGTTCAATGAATTGCCAAAACACAGTTACATTATGACGAACCAGACCTACATTTTTTAAATATTAAACAATTAACATTTGTCAAATAACTATGAGTAAATTGATTGCAACATATATGTGACTCACTGGAAATCGCAGCTAGTGCTTTGACGCGCACTTCATCGTTCAGATCGTTTTCCACCATAGACATCAATGCTTTCAGGTAGTTAGTATTTTCCATAAACTTTTCCTGACAGTATGGATTATTTTGAACCAGTGTAGTAATCAATTCGCATGTCTTAATGCGCACGGATGGATGCTCAGAACGGATACACGGTAAAAAGATATGAAAACCGCCAAGCTTTTCAAAATCTGAAAAATTATTAGGTAGTTATATACTCAAAAACAAAAAATGCGAAAGTAATAAAATAAACGTTTGTAACCATTAGCATAATCAATATTGTCAACATATTCTGCAATAACATCAAACGCAAATTCATGTTCATCCACTTGTTTGTTATTATCGAACAAAATGTTAATAGAATTGTTCATTTCCTCATGTACATTGACAGACATGGTTGACAGAACATTTGATAAAAATTTCTTTCTCTAAAAACATAATAAATAAAACAGTAAAATATTAACAACAATATTATACCAAATTTATAAGTAATTAGGTATTTACACCTAAGTAGGTGCCCAGGTTGGATAAAAGCTAGATAGTACATTGTTGGTTAATATAATAAAACGTCAATACTTAGTTGAGTGGACATTTTTAACAAACAGATTTAACAAATTCAATCCATCCCAAATCTGTTAACACATTGACAGACAGTCACTTCTATAGCAGTCGTAATATGACGATAACTGCTGTTACAGCAAGAACCTGCCTAATATATTTAGAAGTCAAAAGAGCCGTTTCATTTCTTATAGATCTGGTACAATGGATATGTCCAGTTGTGACTTATTAACAAGTCGAGCCAATTATTATCAAACATTCTAAAAAATATGTTTTTAATGTTAATGTTTTAAAGTCCTTTATGGACCTACACGATTAGACTGACGCTCAACAAATCACAGTCTTGCACATAACTGCCGTCAAAGCAGTCACGTCTCTGAATGTGTGTTTTTCTATAACCCATAACCCGCAACCCACCCGTCAAGGGTTCATCTCGACACCACTCGACAACCGTCGCAGTTGTTAGGCTACCTAGTAAAGTAAGCGGCCACTCTGGGTAAACTCACTTCCTCGGTGAACGTAAGCGCGTCGATCTCTTGGTGAATGGTCATGGGCACCCCGTCTGACAGGTCGGTGGCGTACTTGAACATGTCCTTGTAGTTGCGCACCCTGTTCGGGTCGCAGATGCCGGACGCGACGGCCGAGTCCTCCCCGGCGCCGCGGTCGTTGGCGATGGCCGCCGCTGCGTGGTCCACCAGGCGCATGATGCCGCCGTGGACGCGGTCCGCTTCGTTGACGGTCGGCTGGTCGGCGAGACGCTGCTGACGGCGATTGTGATTGTTGCGGCGGCGGCGGCGGTGGTGCTCGGCGATGCCGTCGTCGACGTCGTCGATTTCGATGATCTCGTCCAGGTCGATGATGTCGTCCTCGTTGCGGTGGATGATGTGCCGGCGAGGCGGCGGCGGCATGATGACGGCGGGCGCCGAGTCGTCGTCGCTGGACGACGACGACCCTATGATGTGGTGTTCCATGTGGCGGCGAAACGTGGTCGCGGCTAGACACTTGAAGGCGAATGTGACGGCGGCGGCGACGACGACGGCGGCGCGCGCGAAAGCGTTACGAACGGCGAGTGACGAGTGACGACTCTGGCCGGTCGGTCGGTGGGCTGTGCGGCCGCGCCGAAATCTATCGCTATTCGCCGACGCGGAGTATCGGACGGAAAATCGATACCGAACGGTCCGAACGAGAGGCGACGGCGGCGGCTGCTGAAGCTGTGCGGGATGCGACGGGGGAGAGGGGCGGGGGCGCGGACAGCATGCGGTCGGGTTCGGATTCGGATCGACTCGACGCGACGGTCGTCGTCGTTGAAATAATAATAATGTGCGACTCGTGTTATCGTCAGCCGCCTCCGCCGCCGCCGCCGCGATCAACAGGCCGGGCCCCGCGCGCGCTCTCTCTTCCCGTTATCATTCGACAACAACAACCGCGGCTACGACGAGAGTGTTGTTGTACCACGATATTGTAATAAATATTAATAAATTATTATTTTTCGTTAGCCACGACTGTTGTATTAAATTCGGTTGGGCGTAACGATTTGAATTAATTAATCGTTTCTATAATAATAATAATAATATCGTATAGTCATCGTTGTAGTTGTTGTTGTTGTTGTTGTTGTCACCGTTGTTGTTGTAGTTGTCACCGTTGTCGTTGCCGGCGCCGCCGCCGCCGCCGTTGTTGTTGTTCACTGCTGTTATCAGCTGTTGCGGCGGCGGCCCGTTTTCGTTTTCGCCGAGCAATAGGTACCTCTAATGGGTACGTCTTCTTGCGCGTCGTCCTTGCCGCTCTTGCTCGGCTTTCGTTTTCCGTCAGCCGCGACTGCGTACATAAATAACAATATTCCGATATTGATCGATGCGTTTTCGTTGCCTATACCACCTACCCATGCCTACTAATTCTGAGCTCGCGGTTAACTGTTCCTGCTTAATATTATGATACCTGTCGGCTGTAGGTATCTAAATTAGGTACCTACCTATTCATGGCCAGTTATGCTACCTGTCCGGTAGGGATCGTGTAAATTAGTTCAATATTGCGATTTCCCGCAAAAATAAAACACCGATGTGAATGCTGCCAAAATGAATAATTTCAGAGCTCGGAACTCCTGATCATTTTTACTTTGATACACCTACCTACTAGACCTATACTACGCCTGTAACTTAATGCGTTTCATTAATAAAAACAACAAAATGTTAACTCTACTAGGGCACTTTCTTACTTACCTATCAGTTATCAATAAATCTAATAGGCAAAAAAAAACCATTCGAACCAACCTTCTGGTTTTTAGATGTGATGAAAAAAAAAATCAAATCAAAATTTCTTTACTCAATTATTTTAGGTAATTATTACCTACCTACTACAATTATAATTAGGGTTTAGAATTTAAGATGTTTATAAGTAATCTAAAAAAATCCATACAAATAACTAATAAGCAGGAACAATATCAAAATAGGTATGCATCGCCTACCGCTACGCACTTCAAAAAATCATGTACCTAATATGACATTAGGTAGGTATATTATAATTTATAATGCATTAACAAATAGTGTATTAATATTGTATTATGACGCCTAACTTTTGCTATTTATAGTTCTAAAAAAAAAAAAAAATTAAATAAAGATTCACGCAATTTGAATATTATTTTTGATTTATTACATACATTATAGGTACACCTTTATATACCTACTCTAGAAGTCGAGTTGAACGATGATAATTTTCTCTAAGTTTTTGAACAAGCATCGGTTGTCAGATAGGTAACTAATTTTTGGTAAGATGAAAAACGTTCATTATCTAATGCAGAAGTATAATGATCGGTGTATAATATTACTGTAAATGTATAAATTATTAGGTACCTAATAATTGAAAAATTAGTTTAATTGAAAATTGGTCTTTTGATTTTTTTTCCATTGACATTTGCTGATGATGCTAAGATGTGTTGAACATTTGAGGATGATAAACTTTTGCAAATGATCTTAATGGTATTTTCAAATGATGTTTTCTAAACAATATGTACCTTAATAGTTAATACAGTCGAACTTGGCTAACTCGAACTTCTGAAACTCGAAACCCAAACTTTTTTCCGGTTCTAAGAATTTTCTATTATTGTATTAATGTATTATTTTTGGATAACTCAAAGTCTTGAACTTTTTGTCCCGTCCTTTCAGCTTCGAGTAAACAAAGTCGGACTGTATAAGTGTCAAGGTATTTCTTTCGCAACAAAAAAGTACTTTTATCTCATTTAATTACAATGCATTTATCTAGTAATGTTCATTTATTCCGCTCCGAATCAGGTATCTAGATTCTAAGGGTTCTATTTGACACACAACTTAAATAAGAATTCGATAAGAAAATAGTGCTCTCTTCGTATTTAACTAAATAATACAAAAATGTTCCGATTTTAACTAGCCATTTTCCTACATATTTTATACAACAGTTAAACGTTCGCATGTAAACGATACATAAATTATTTCAAAAACTTATAATAATATTATACTTTATTATAGTACCAACCTAGTCATCCAATATAACATTTATTTCAAAATTAATTTTAATAGGCCTCTTTACTCGAGCTATTACAAAATTTAAATTTAAGATGTTTAAAAGACAGCAAAATTCAATAACATATACATTTCTTGTATAAATTCCTAAACAACCATTGATGACTTCTTCATGGTACTCAGTATACTGAATTACTTTTAGAAACAAAATAAATTATTTTACATTCCACGTCTTTCGAAAAAAAAATGTTTTGTTCACCTTTCACCTATAAATATTTGGTTAGGTATTTGTTGGTAATTTTCCGAATAGTATAGGTAGATTTTCAAAAATAAATCACTACATTTAATATCAATTCACTAACATAATATACGAATATAGTATAATATTATAAAAATATTAATAATAAAAAATAATGTTATAAATAATATTATTGATATAAACATAATATTAATTAATATTATAACATATCATATTATATTATATTATTATCAAAAGCATCACTAAAAACAAATAATTTATTTATAGGAAATTAAGATTTTTAAATTCGGTTTTAGACAAAATTGAATTTGGTTTTTGGGTAACTAATATAAATTAAGTACCTACTTTAAATACAAGAAATTTTCATTAAATATTTATATTAGCATTTTCTATAAACCATAACTTTTTCAAAATATTTTGACTCGTGTTCAGCTATTTAAAGGTTTAAACAATTTTCGATTATTATTCAATTTTTTCAAAATTAATGTTGAAAAAAAAATTGAGTTGGGTAAAAAACTTGAAAATGTTAAACAAGAAAGTTTCGGTAGGAAGAAATAAAAAAAAAATTTAGTGTAATTCCACAGTAAATTTTTATGAGCGTCTGAAAATCAAATTTTGACAAAATTCGTATAAAAGTCACGAAAATTTGAAAAAACTATTTTGAGTTTAGATATTCATAAAAAATGTCACCTGGAGAGTCAGATTACATTTATATGAGCATTTTAATTTGGATTTCCAATGATTTGTATGGAGTGATTTGCTTATTTATTGTTTAATTCAAAAACAAATAACTGTAAATACTTGATATTTACACCATATGTTTGTTTAGTCATTTAATATACTTTATACTATTTTTACTTGTTTTGAGCTTTTTACAGACATGTTCAATTTTCAATGTTTTTTAGTTTTTTTTTTTCTTAACTGCCAATAAAATATTATTTGTAGGGTCCACAGGCTTGTTAAATACAAGGCTCCTGATATATTGCAACAAAAGCAGTTGAAAAATATTTTAATTTCAAATACATTTTTATAAGCATTTAAAGTTCAAATTTTAATAAAATGGATCAAATTGAAAATGTAAAAATGATTTTGGAGTTGAAAATGTATAAGCTGTTCAAATTGTATAGCTAAAGATTGAAAATTTAAAACCATATTCCAGGTAGGTAAGTAATCCTGTAACCAAAAAATCTAAAAAATATTATGTAAACACAGTTTTTTTTTTGAACAAGTTCAAATTTGGATGAAACTACATAGCCAAGTATAACAATTTTAGTTATTTTCATGTAATTTAAAAATATTATTCGAGGATAAATTTTTTAAGCAAAGGATATTTACTTGAAACTTCAATAGTAAATTATTATTATACACAAATATGATAATAAGCAAAATGATAATAATTTTATTACTGGCTACCGAATTAATAATATCAGTATAAATATAATATAAAATATCTTGGGCTGACAAACTGTCTTCGTTCATAATTTTGCAGGTAAAGTTACAATGATAATGATATTATATCATTGAATTCAAATTTAACACATCAATTACAGTGACCCAATTGTAACCTACTGCACAGCACAGTGTCACCTACTTACCTCCCTTTGTTCATTGAACTATCGTCTATTATTAATAATGGATAAATAAAAATATAGGTACATAGTTATCATCAGTTATTGACGTGAGACTCTCATGATATCAGAAAACGAAAATATTATTTATTTTACCATTTTTTAACGTAATCGTTTTGTAAGTTTTTATTATTCTTTTGAATAACAACATACGTTTTTATTTTAATACTCCAAAACAGAATATTATTCGAAATATTTTGTTCAATACAAAAGTACCTACCTATCTAATTTATTAGTTAAAGGTATTTACAGTTTAGATGAGTGGAGTGGTGGACCAACAATTAGCGAGTCACCAATTCGTACTCCACCTATCTTAGCTTTAGTATAACTTATAAGTTATAAGTTACAACACTTATTAGAACTCATAAAAAGCTAGTCAAAAATTCGATTTTTTTTATGTATCAAAGCAGCTCCCCAAAAAATATTCTGCTTTTGAATGGGGATTTAAAAATGTGTAGGTACCTAATCGCATAAAAAAGTTTAAAAAAATAAAATAATGATAACGATCGAAAGTGGTAAAAATATATATATATATTTAACGACTTGAATACACGTCAAATGTTTTTGAAATAATGAGTGTCCTGCAGCGTTAAATGGGACACCTGGTAAAATATTATATTATAATATAATTAAAAAATATAAAACTAATTTAAATTAAAACTTGATTAACTCCCTGTGAGTAGGCGTAATAGGTATAGTAGAGAAAATTTAGTTTTAAGCTTTATCAGAACAAAATAACAACGTTGCTATCCAAAACATAAAGTATGTAAGCAACTACTATTATATTAATACAAACGATGATTGTAAACGATTACACTAAAGCGTTTTTAATCATAAATTTGAAAATAAAATGTGCGTTGATATAATTTAAAAATGAAATTGATCAAAAAATAATATCGATGTGGTATATTATGTTTATTATACTGGTTATAAGTTAGTACCAGTCACCAGTGGAATTTATATGTTTTTCACAGGTAATAAATAAGTCGTAGGTACCGGTAGAATTTACGATCGTCCACCAGTAAGTACCGTTAATGATTGAAATTATTATAATATTATTACCCACTTATATAAACTTATATTATTATCTTAAATGTTAATATTACCAGGACGCGGATTTTTAAATAATAAAAAAGTCAATATATGTAATAAAAAACATGAAATATAATATTTACTCA